ATTCTTGGAAGAATAATGAAAAGAGATTTCTGATACTCTTTGTATTAGCACAAGATGGGCTTAGTATTCCAATCACTACAATAGCATTAGAATATGTTTTTGGCATTGGTGGACATGTTTTCACTAAATATAGAAGCTCTACACTTCCATAAAATGTAGTGATAATGTTTATTGTAATTACCTTTTATGCTTATTATACAATTTGTACAAATATAATTGTATTTAATTTTATTTTTATTGCTTTTGAGTTTTAGATAATGATGAGACAAAAACATTAAAGTCTAGTATGCAACAAGATGTTGAAGACTAACAAGTAGGTGAAGTATGAATCTATCAAGAATTAATATGTTGAGTTTTCTTTTTTACTAGTTGCTTTATCACCTTATTTCTATTTCTGTCAGAGAGAAAATGACAGAAGTGAATTGACACTTAATAATTTTAATGTGTTTAACATTGTTCTACAGTGGATAATGATGAGTCATACAGTGGCACATTAGCTTTGTGTATTTTGTTGTTATCTACTACTTACATGTGCTGAAAAGACAAAGGAGCCCTTAGTAAATTGTTTATGCATATTTGGTTATATCTTGCATATTAAGTTCATGTTTAGAGCACTTAGTAAACATGTAAGGTATTGCAATAAGCTTAGTAAGTTCAAGTTTAATTGGTTGCTGTTGGTAATGTCACGTTATGAATGATGGGTTGGTTTCATAGATTTCTCATTATTGCTTCTTGAGGGAGTGTAGATGTTACTTTGGCTTATCCATCTTCATGAAAGAAAGCAAAAAATTAGAACTGAAAATTTCTTTAATCCAGGTAGATGTTGTGCATGATTGATAGTTAAAAATGAAATTAAATTTGAGTTGGAAACTTGCAATTGTTGGAATTTTTTTGGCCCTTGAGGCCTTGACCCTAACCTTGGCCCTGTTAGTTTTTTGGCCCACAAGGCTTTTGATTTATTGGGTTTTTAGCCCATAAGATTTTTTGGCCCTAACCTACATAGGCTAAGGCTAGACTAGTTGGAATTTTTGACAACTCTATCTATTACTATTAGTAGCTATTCTAAATATTGGGAACTCAAAAAGTGAAAGGAAGCTAACTAGAAGGACAAAGGTGACAGAAAGGGAAAGAAAACATTTGTGAATGAGTCTTAGGATTCAGGAAAAAAATAAGATTTTTTTTATGAGAAAAAATGGTAAAGTTGCAATAACTATTATTTAGCCATATTTACTCGTTTATATGAAATGATGTTGTATTTGCCAAGTCAATTTTCACATATGTCACTTAATGTAACATGTCATTGTTTTGTTATTATCTATGAACGGTATTTGAGGTTAGGTACTAAAATGTTTGATGAATATGAAATTCAATGACTAATGTGACATTATTAATATTTTAGGGACTAAAATGTTTGACGCTTATTATTTGAAGGATCAAAATGAAGGTTTAGTCTATAATGTACTGCCAATGAGGTGCTTGACGAACCATGTTATGATATTGTCACCTTGTGTCACTTGATGTATGTGATAAGATTCAATTCCTTTCTATTTCTAATATTTAAAATATTGTGTATAAAACAAGTTAAGCATGTTGTACAAATTGCCTTTAAAAAAAGAAAGAAAGAAATCTCATCTTATTCCAATACAATTTAAGCCAAAACTTAAATAACCATGCTTATAATATTACACACTAGATAGGAGACTGCAGGTAACAATTGTCAGAAGTTGTTATATTCAGCACCTCTATTTAATCTTGACCTATTTTATTTTTTATTCAATTGATTTTATACTTCAACTTCATCTTTAATTCTTATGATATAGACTTTTCTATAATGAGAATAATCATTAATAAACATGGTATAATTTCTTTTTTCCTCCCATAATTATAGCATTCTTGAAGTCAGCAATACCAAAATGTTCCAAATAAAGTTTTTTTATTTGTCTATTCGTAATAGATTTGAAAGGCAACTTTGTATGTATAAATTCTAAACACATAATACATGTAGAAATAGTCTTCTTTTATAAAAGGCAACAAGTTCATATTTCACAATTATTTTGTCACGACTCCTTTTTATAAAGAATCAACGACATCATGCAATTTCTTTTTCTACTTCATTTATTCATTTACGAGGTAATATCTATATAAGTAAAAGAGTATAAATTTTCCAGAAAGTGAACTTAAACATCTAAATTAAATAAAATAACAAGCCTCAAGGGCATTTTTATACTACCAAAAATTTACATGACGTTATACATGTACACCAAATAATTTCGCGAAGAAGTCAATATATAAGAGTTCAAAATATAATTACATTCCTTGAGAACTTATAACCTGACAGTCTAGCGATAATACTAAAATTACTAAAATCTAGACTAGCAACAAAACTAACACGACGATTTCCTAAAACACCGACTCTGATGTCTCTTAGCTAGACCGTCCAACTTGAGAAGTAGATGCATCGCTTGCCACTTCTGCTCACGTACAATTGTACGATCATTGCATCACAAATACCAACACAACACAAAATGCAAGGGTGAGCTTATATAATTAAGGATCATAATAGAGAATATGAATATGTAAAATGTTTTAAACAACTAATATATTTCACATCATTAAGCACAACAGCTTCAATCGATTGATGCAGCATGATCAGCTCATTCCCAGCTTAACTAATGCAAATGCAGCAATTCATCCCAGTATCTAGATCTAGACATAGTACAACTCATCATCCTAATTAACTCTAGAATAATGATAATGAATGTGATGCAGTATAGCGAAATTAACATATTACAGCACAACAAATTTTTATTTTCAGCTTTAGTAATACAACAAAACACAAAATTTTATCTAGCTTTAACAATTCAGCCATATATATATATATATATATATATATATATATTTATTTATTTATTTATTCACAGCAAAACTCAGCATTTTAGTATACAGCACACAGTAAAGCTAAACAATTATAATAAAAATAAAGAGAAAAGAATTATTCCTTGAATATTATTTTTCACCCTACAAACAATGTCAATAATTACCGCAATAAAATTTAATGGCTATTAAAAAATATTAATTATAATAAGAAGTTAAAAAAACGTTAAACTTAATAATTTTATGTATGTTTCTTTTGAATAATTTTTATACATTTAAACTCCTTCTCAACTTTTTATATCTAAACTTGAAATGACATTAATGTATCATGAAAATTATCATTTCTAACAATGAGGTGAAAATAATTTTTATGTGGAAAGAAGAAAATATTAAATAAAAAAAAATTATTTCCACCTCGATTATAATATAAAAATATTATTAGAAAATGATTTCTTACACAATTGAGGAAACAAAAAAAATTGAAAAATATTGGAATATCTTTTGATATTTTGTTTAATTTTATAAAATATTTTTAGAATGTGTATAATTTTTTTTAAAAGAGATATTAAGATAATTACATATAATATAAATTTTTAAATGCTGAAATAACAAAACTCATAAGATTTATTTATTTTCACCTAATAATTTCTATTTGTTAAGATTTACCTTAGTATGTAGTTGAGATGAGTTTAAATCCTCTATATTTTTTTGTAAAAATTGCATCCTGCAGTTTAAATTTAGCAAAAAAAATAATTTTTACTTAAATAAAAAAATTCACTTAAGTGAATTTGGTGAAAAAATGATTTTTATTTTAGTAAAAAAAAATCACTTAAACCAAAATTGTAAAAAATTTCAAAACTTTATATTTTTCCTCTCTAAACTATAAAAAATTTAAGGAATTTTTGTACATGATTATATAGTTTCACTTTGTGGTCATCTATATTGCTAACCATTCATGTACTGATAACTTCATTATTAAATAGTATCTTTAGAAAATGAAAAGCAATAGAAATCACGTGTATGTTAATAAAAAGTTTCTCAATACTTATATAGTTTCATTATATCTTTTGAAAAAAAGGCTCGTCAAGTAGCAATTGTCATGCTATAAAGACCTAATAGTCTCATATAACATTGCAACTATTTCTCTACTAATTTTTTAAAGTTATTGTCTTTATAATCCTTATTATCATTTTTAACAATTTAGCTTAATTTTAAATAGTTACATCTCACTAATGTTTAGAATAAGTAACATAGCAGATAATATGTTTGGATTAGTTGGTGGAATGATATATGCAAGAGTCTTTAATAACTAGATAGTTATTGATGAGAAATAAAAGTTTCCTAGATTTTTATAATTTAAAAAAGAAGATGAAGTTTTAAAATTTTTGTAATTTTGGATTAAGCAAAATTTTTTTATTAAAGTAAAATTACTTTTTCACTAAATTTATTTAAGCAATTTTTTTTAATTTAAACAAAATTTATTTATTTTTATCAAATTTGTTTAAGTAAATTTGGATTAAAACGTATCCAAATTCGGACTGAGATAAACCTCCCATGTAACACATATATATAAATATCACGTGGGTTTTATGACGCTCTACCTAGTAATTTAAATGGGCTCTTCGTCCCACTTGATTGCTGGTGGGCTTCCTTTGTCCAAGTTGCCTTTTCTGGGCCGCTAGTTGTTAACTTTCTATTTGTTGGGCTCGAAATGGTAATTCTGAAACAAAAAAAGAAAATTCCCATTCGCTGATGTTTTCCGTAAGAGAATGATTGATCAACGGCCCAACACCATAGTATAAGGATAGATTCTTTGATATATTATAAGTGATAGAATTTTATTACATCAAAATGCAAATTATTTAATATGTATGTTTTTTCAAGTATTTTCATTTAATCAAAATATATTAGCTATGCTATAATTAGTATATAAAGTTTCTCATTAACTTAAAATCACAATAAAATTTGTTAATGTTAAATATTAGAATAAGATATTGGTGGTGTTGTAAAAGGAGATTATTATTTTCTTAAAAAAGTAAAACGATGGGTTGGGCTAGCTGAATTGAAAGAGTGGGTTGTATTCACAAGATAGCGCGTTATCCAGCTATTCCAATAAACGCGTGAAGCATCGCAAAACATAACAGCTTTGCTTTACTTGGGATTTGGTTTTGTTTGGAGTGCTATATATAAGTCCACCAGTGTCGGTGTGCATGTGCGTCACTGCTGAATTATCGCTCTGCTTCTAAATAAAATCTCTTTCTTTTCCAAACAAGTCACTGCTTCAATCTGTGGTACCCTTCTCTCTTCTTTCTTTCTATTTGGGATTTCTTTATCTTTTTTTCTTATGAATTGAGGCAATGCTTCAAAATTAATCACTTTCTTTCACATTACAGCAACTGGGTTATCTTAGGAAGGGAAAAAGATTCGATTTTTGTCCTTGATTTTTCTATGGGTGTGTACTTTATGTTCTTGCAAGATTAATCATTGATTTGTTGCGTGACAGGCGCATTGAGAGATGAGTTTAAGTAATGGGAAAACTGAGGCTCCATTGCCAAGTAGCAATGGAGGAGCTGCTGAGAATGGGAATGAGAAGAAGGGGTTCAAGATCTTTGTGGGCTATGACCCGCGTGAAGATCTTGCCTTTGAGGTATGCAAGCACTCCATCTTGAAAAGGTCTTCAATTCCTGTTGAGATCATACCAATTAAGCAATCGGATCTGAGAAAGAGTGGCCTCTATTGGCGTGAGAGAGGCCAATTTGAGAGCACTGAGTTTTCCTTTTCAAGATTCTTGACACCATGTTTGGCCAATTACCAAGGTTGGGCCATGTTTGTGGATTGTGATTTTCTTTACTTGGCTGATATCAAGGAGTTGAGAGACTTGATTGAGGACAAGTATGCCATCATGTGTGTTCAACATGACTATGCTCCAAAAGAGACCACTAAAATGGATGGGGCAGTGCAAACTGTGTACCCAAGAAAGAACTGGTCTTCAATGGTTCTCTACAACTGTGCTCATCCCAAGAACCGTGTTCTCACTCCTGACACTGTGAACACACAGACTGGTGCTTTCCTTCACAGGTTTCAGTGGCTTGAGGATGATGAAATTGGCTCCATCCCTTTTGTTTGGAACTTTCTTGAGGGGCATAACAAGGTTGTTGAAAATGATCCCACTACTTTACCAAAGGCCATCCATTATACTCGTGGAGGGCCATGGTTTGAGGCTTGGAAGAATTGTGAATTTGCGGATCTCTGGCTGAATGAAATGGAAGACTACATGAAGCAAGCCAAAAAAGAATCTACTGATTAGATTCAATCAGCTGATGGCATTATGCATTTGGATAATATGGATTTGTACTATTCTTTTATGTCAAATTCGTTTTGCAAAATCCGCGTCTAATGATGCATGTTATGACCTATGAGAGTCTCCAGGAAAATAATCACTGCTAGTCCATATCTTATCTTGTAGTATTAGTATTCTTTACGGTATTACATTATATTAACCTTGGCATTTCATAGGAAATGCTCTTCTTGACGATGTTGTATCTCATTTTTTATTTGTTTATTGACCTCCCTAGGACCTTTAAGGAGGTAAATTTACCACTCTGTATTGAATATTTTAATTAAGCCTTCACTATTACGATTATATATTGTCATTGCTTTTAATCTATGGCCAGTCATGAGATGAGTTCCAAAATAGGTTCTAGCATCTCTCGAGATTGAGAATGTTGAAAATAAATGCAAAACGATTTGGATCTCCTTACATATTTGATGTCTCAAGTTGGCGCAGGTGTGAAATTGATCCAGCAGTTGTAATCCACGTTGGATTTGGACTAAACGGAATCACACGAGTGTCATACTTGAATGGTTTGAAATAACTTGTCATCAAACAGGGGAAAAAAGATTTTGTTTTAATCCATCTGTGGCATAATTCTTATACGATGATTTCTGTATTTTATAGTATTTCTAATGCTCGATCTCCATCAATCCATCTTATGTACATAGGAAAGAAACATCATAAATGATCTCAAATGTGGACATATCAAAGCAACTACAAAAAAAATTATGAGACTAAGATTATATTTGATAACTTGTATTGATGTGAGAAGAAGTGTACGACTATAACTTCATATAATACCGTTAACTGCTTAAAAATATATTACAAAATTTGCTTGGCATCAACTGTCAACAATTATGGTTTGTATGATATGATTTTGTTAATTTTAGTTTAAACACTTAAAAATATATTTATTGTTTTAAAATTACAGAAATATAATAAATACTTCTCTTTTTAATAAAGTCATTCTATAATTAGTTATTTAAACTCAGTCTTTGTTAACATTATTTTATTATGTTTCCAGCAACTATCAATTAGAAACAAAGTTAACTATATGTTCATGGATTATCTTTTTGTTCACTTCCTTTACAACAGATCTCACGTGAAATCAGTAAAGAAAAAGTATTTCAATTTCGGCCTGGTTGGCCAAGCAACCTTTTTAAATTTAACCGAAGCAGAAAGTTTACAGGCACATGACCTTACCTTCACTAAATTCTTTACATCATATGTTTATGTGTTAAAACAAATAAATGAATAATCAAATAAAGGTTTAGGAATGCACCTTTCCTCTTACATATAGCAGTATTTTTTTTTTCAAATGTGACACTGTGTCTATGTTAGCACATGAATTCACTCTTATTTACTAAATTAAAGCACATCTATCTAAAAGAGAATCAGTTTTCTACTATATTTTTTTTTTTCTCAAAGAATGACGGTATTTAAAAAAAAAAGTTTTTCTTTTAGTTTATATTTTCTTAATCTATTTTTCTAAATTCTAGCTGAATTTAAAATAGCATGTGTAATGCAAATGATACTCACCAGTTTTTACCAAAACGAGATATAAGAAACTGCAAACGTCCAAGGCACAGATGCAATCTGCAGTTGAAGGTAGAGGTACCGTGTAATGAATTATTATAACTTCCATTGCCTAAGATGAAGCAATTCTTTGTATTGGAGTGTCATTATGACATTCACAACTTCATGATGATGAGTTAGCACCATCTTCAATGTTAAGCTTCTTTGATATACAATTAATTGGATGAGAAAAATGAAACAGAATTTTCAACTAAAAGAGAGAATAAACTCACTTGTATGTGATAATAAATATATTAACACTTAAGTTAATAAATTCCTAGAGACCTAACATTTTTTTCTTTTTAATTTTTTCTGTCAGTTCTTCTTCAGATGGAATCTCAGCACCAGCTTCTGAGGTGGTGGACCACCATTCCATGATTTCTTCCTGCTCAAAATGAGAGAAAAGAGCATCAGGTGAAGTTGAAGCAAGTTGATGCTGTTCTTGCAAAAATTACTATGCCAAATCTAAATTAAATTCTATAATAACCAAGGAGTGAAAACATCAGGAATATAATATTTGAAATTTGATTCACAATAAAACTAGCTCTTTCCTTTCTATTCCAGTTTCTTGAGTAGGAAAGTTTGCAAGACAATCTTCCCATAAGAATATTATCCACATCTAGTATAATTTATTGAGCATGAATTTCACAGAAGTTTATGGAGTGAAAATAACATAGCTTCTTCAATACATGGTGCAAAAACAAGACTAGTGGAAAAGCTAATGAATAATCACTGGTTATCACCTCAAGAAAGTCATGATTGGATATATACTGACTTTTGACCATACACTTGATTCCCCCTACTTTCACCGAGAGAGATTTTCTTGTATTCTGCTCTGAACTCTGCCTCTGGGCCTCTGTTGATACACCAGAACAAGAAAGAAGAAAAAACAAAATTAATAGGAATAACAAAGACAGTCATGTCATGAATTGTATCCAGGAAACAAAAAACAAAGGCCAAGGTGGTCAAGTAAACTATAACTCCAGGGTAATTCATAGTGTAGTCAAGTGACATAAGTCATTCATACTTCACATGCAAAGAACAAGGTGTGATTCTAGCTATACCATTTATGTATGCCACATAGTATCCAGTTCTCCCAAGCCCTTCTTCCCACTTCCCGAGCCGCAGGCGCAAGAAAAAACCATCAAGTTGTGAGATTGACCCATGAGCATTTATCCATCTGATGTAAAGGACATTTTATTAATTAAAGGTCACAAAGATCCAATTGTTTTATAAGTGTCAAAACGTGTACACATTTCTGTCTCTGTCTATGATATTTTATACAATCCAGTTGTTTTCATTTCTCCTTTTTATTTTCAGTTAATACTTTACCTGCAAGAAAAACAAGCAATATAGAGGTTCCTCCCATTCAATACCAAGAGGCGCAAGCAGTATTTGTAAATAAATATCTCAATGGCCGACTTATCTTCTATTTCAGTTATCTTAAATGTTGCTTTAGTTAGATTATTTATATTTTCACTGATGTTAGACTATTGTGAATATCTTTGAAGTGCTGCATTTATAACTTTTTACAAGGTGCTAATATCAGGACATTGTGAAAAATATGTCTAGAAGTCTGCTCTTTCACATAAAAATGGAAAGGTGGCTATAACACAATTCACCAATTTCTTTGTATGATCATGGTTGAGAAAGGAGTTAAAGGTGAACAAATGATACGACAAATTCAACTCATGGAGCTGGACTCTAGTTCAATACACATTAAATGTTTGTTTAACCAGATTATGCAAGGCACAGAGGCTTTAAGGCTCTTATCATGAGAAACAATGAAATGCAGGTAAAGAAAAAGGTTCTATAAGAAAACTTCTTGCCATAAAAAGGATGCACAAATTATTGTTTTATATATCTGACATCTATCCACAAGCCATTGCATTATGACTTAAGCATGAATACTGGGATTAAGAACTAATTTGCACTCTTCATGTAATTTAGCAACTACCATAGGCTATTTATGGCATATGTAAATGGACCATAAAACCACAAAATATCTTCATTTACATGAAATGACAAAATATAAGTTGGTTGGCTTGCATTACTTACTTCAGGATGTCAGTGCGGGACAGTCGAAGCTTTTTCACTGCATCAAATATTTCCTTTGGCACATGTGAAGTCTTCTTTTCCGCCAATCTAGTTGGAGATGCTACTGGATTTTCTTTGAATTTTTTTTCCTCTGAACTTGAACTACAGTATTTCTTGAATGATGCATTGCATCCTCCCTTAAAGGTTATAATTTCACTTGATTTCCGCTTCAAATTAATATTTTGATGTGCTTGGTGATCAGTTTCACCATTAGTAGAACCACCAGATACAACTCGGTCATCCTCATCAGTATGCAGCCCGGCACTCCCTTCATCGCTTGGGATAACATGTTTTTCATGATCATTGGTCAAGGCATTAACTTCTGATTCATGTTTCCTAGTTGAGATTGAGGTAGGACATGAAATTGCCCAGTGGTTGGGCTGGAAACATTTGATGCATAGACAATGATGTTCTTCCAGTCCTCCATATGGATGTATATTCTTCTGGAGATCTTCTAGCTCGCTTTCTGTAACAGCTGAGCAATCAGAGAGTTGATGACCTCTTGTTCCACAAAACAAACACAACATATTTACCTTCATGGTATTATCAGGTGAGTTTGTTGGTATGATATGTTTGATAGCACCAAATCTCCTTGCAAACATTGAAGCCATTGGCTCAAAATATCTGAATCCTGGGGAAAATGAATGGTGTTCGGACTTGTGCTTTGATTTATGATCATTATTTCCCTTTTCTTCCTTAAGACCAGTAGAGGCCTCTGTGTCATTGGCAGTTTGTTCTCTTGAGGGAGCAGTGAATTTCTGAGAAAATCGAGTTATCCACAGACTTCCCAGATTATCTCTTCTGTGACAGATATTCTCTTCCTTTTTGTCAGATAGTGCATTGGAATCGACATTGTCATTATTATCTGTATTTTGTTTGGTTGAAGATGAATGTGATGCCACTTCTTCCTTGTCCTTACTAAGGCCCAAGATGGGACAATTTTTATCCTCCACCAGGTTATTTTTGCTTCTTTCCTGACTGTTAAAAAAATTTAGAGGTTTAATCTTAGGCTGCAAGGATGGACCAGCATCATATCTCACAGTAGATACTTCAAACTTGTTTGATTGCAAACACAGTCTGGAAGAGCTATTGTTTTCTGCACGATAGGTTATAGGAGTAGCATCTATTCCACGTTCCATTTTACCTGGTTCTGAATGCTCAGTACTCTCTCCCTCTTGATGAGACGTTCTTGTTCCTACATTCTTCAAGCTTGGACAATATATGGACTGAAATATGGATTTGAATCCTGTGTTTTTTGGTTCAGGATCTTGATTCATATTGCATGTGATAAGTTTCTCATCAGGCGGTAGATTATGATGATCTGAATTAGCAAGGGTAAGAGCCAAAGTGTTTGAATCATCTTGAATTGATTGTGAGAGTCCTTTCACCATGTTTGAAATCCAGTTCACGAACGAGCTATCCTGTTTAACATAGGATTTGGAACCAGAAGTTTCTTCAATTTTCCTTTTGACTCTTTTCCTGCCAATTATCAACTGTTGTTGAAAGTTACACCTCTTCTTACCTGTTGACAAAAAACCAGCACTATTACAGCTCTCAACACTTGAATGACTGTCATTCTCCTCCCTTGATAATATTACATTTGCATCACCATCTGATAATGACTTTTCCTTGCCTTTGTTTATTGCCATATGAATTCTGCTATGACATGGAGAATGTAAAACTGGAAGAATCTTATCACATGGTAGCATAATTTCATTGTCCTGAAATTTGTTTTCACACTCATTGACATTAACTCCACTTGTCCCAGCACAAGCAGCTTCACAGTTGAAAGTTCGTAAATCATTCTCTGCACTAGATTCCAGCTTTTCTAAAGGAGTCCTGCTGGAGGATGTTAAGTTAGTCCCTGGAGCACTAGTGCCTTTGAATTCCTTTATAGGCTCAACTGCAGTACATAAATCATCATCAGTTACTACATCCTTTTTTCCAGTACCAATATTTACACCTCCGTCAGATTGTCCCCCTGGAGAAGGATTTTGGTCCATGCTAGGTTTAGGTTCATCTGATTGAAATAATAAATTATCAGATGGCCTTTGGTCAGCCAGACCTGCAGGAAAATCAGGATGCAGAATACATTTCAGGTATGCACAAAAAGGAAAATTTTGAAGTTTTCTTTTAACAAAAACAAACATTGCAATAGATTTCCTTCTTTAAACATAAAAGATATGTTTTAAATTTTGGAACCTAAGTATTTAAAAAAACAACATTAAGACCTATCTGGTATTCTTTCCTACTATTCAGGGTGACAAATACCCTGAAATGTCTGGATTCTTATTGCCACAGTACTAAGGAGGCACCAAAAGAAGCACCAAAGCCCCGAGGCAAGGAGCTAGTAGGGGTTAGTGCCTCGTGGCACTATAGAAGCTCCTTTCTGGATAACAACTAAAATCTGATAGAAACTAGATTAGTAAAAGAGAAAAAGGAAAAAAATTGTTATTGAATGCTGCCAAACTGTAAGGGTATGCACCTCCCAATGCCCAAAGGCTCCAATTTCCTCTTAAATCACAAGATAAAATCTTCACATCAACCCCTTTTTCTGATTTATAGGCAACATGTCATATTCCTCTAATGATCCCAGCCCCCAAGTAACTAACTAACTAACTAAGTATACCTCTAAGTAACTATTAATTCTGAGCAACTAAGGACTACCTTTGAAAATGTCTAAGATCAGCCACGTAACTTGCCAACTGCGATTCAAAAGAATCATACTTTGGGGCTCTTACCAGCAAAGCGCCTAAAGGACTTGTAAACTGAGCTACATAATCTTTAAATTTTACTATCAATGCTAAAAAGTCAAATATTTAATTGTTTTAATTTTTTAATGTTTACACCTTTTTTCTTATATGGCTCGGGCTTTTTGGTGGCTCTCATTTCATAGCATTAAAATCAGTTTCTTAAGGGTGACTTTAACTATCTTGATGACAGAACATACCTGAAATAGCAGAAAATTTGTTTCCCTCTATCCCAGATGTTTTATCAGTCCATTGTTGGCCTGATCACCAGTATTGTTTTCCCAATCATTTATTATTTCCGATTTGATCATTAGGAAAATTAGGTGCTCTACTATGGTGTTCATTTTCTCCTTATTACCAACAGATTCTGTCTTAGAAATGTTATGTTACCCTTACCTAAATCATTTTCTTCATGGGCCCTGCAATCGGCCTTGACACCTGAATCACTTGTTGGATGCACAGTGGGAGCATCTGCTTCAGCTATATCACTCTTGGTGCATACAACAGCTATAGGTTTCACAACACCATCATCTATAGGTTTATCAGTAGTAGACTTGCCACAAGTATCATTTGGTGGCGGAGCAAGTACCATAGAACTTGTTCCAACATCCCGAAAAAGAGAACTATTTTTATCAACAAAGCTTGAATCGGCGCATTTAAGGCTCAAACCTTTATCTGGAGACCAAACTATTTCGGATAGGGGGTAAGTGGCAGCCAATGTCATGTCCACCCTAGAGGCTGCATTTGCACCTGCACCTGAGTCATTTTTCAATTTTGTCCAAACGCACTGGTTAGCATTATTCAGAAAGAGCTCAATATCAGTCTTTGGTTTTATTTTCTCGTTTTCTGCACTCATCTTCTGAAGGATAATCTCTTCACAAAAAGGTCCTGAAATATTATTACAATTGAAATTAACCTTCCGCAGCATTATAAATTAAAATTCTGAATCCACGGTACATGTAACAATGTATATGTTGAGGCAACTAATGTCATAACACTAAGGCTAGCACGGAATTACTTGACTGAATTATGGGCTTCTCATTAATCAGGTTTCAGAGGTTCATTTTATAAGAAGGAATGTTGGAGACATACATTTGTTTCACCTTTTCCTTATGCAAATTGAAGTGTTTAACAAAACATTATTCTAACTTCTTTCTGCTGCATTCTTAATTCAAGTGTTTAATTTAGTTGACGAACATGGCCAAATTCTTTCACACGTACAAAAAGTAATTCATTTTGAACAATAAGTGAATCTAATAAACGTTTTTAGAAGATTAGGGACGAAAACAAAGGGCATTAAGCATTATCAAATATAATGGATAACAAGGAGTATGCAAAGAAGTTGAAAATAATTTCTTGTCACAGATAATGTCAAGGATCAGTCATACCAAAGGCTCAGGTTGCTAAGTACAGGCTTATGAACGATTTTTATCTCTGACATACTTCCTCATGACACAGCCTATGAACATCACGTGGACTTGGAAGTGTTAACAAAGAAGAACAAGGGCACCATGACCTTGAGTTGAAATCGAAATTCAAAATATAAATAGCAGCAAGGATTCAACTCGATCATTTGGTTACATATCTGTAAACATTTTACAATAACCATCAATACAAAAACACAACAGCTAGAAAAATAAAAACTATAGTCAACAATATTCCTGGTATTAAAGGAAAAAAGATTTTGTGGTATTGTATCCCAAATTATAATAACATGCAAAGTTAAAGAAACACAAACAGTAGATTTTATGATAGGATCGGCAAGTGTTGATAAGAAAGAATATACTCCAAAGTCCAATCTCAGCTCATGGCATATCATAATAGAAAAGCATTAAGAAAATGTGAAGGAGATAAGCATAGCATACCCTTTGTTTCCTTTGATCCACTCAGCAAAAAGGGAAATTGACTAAAGGGGTAGAGAGGGAGAGAGAGAGAGAGAGAGAGAGAGAGTGAAGTTGGGGTGCAGTTGCACAGAGGTCCTGGGATAACAGTTACATGAAGCTGTCTACCTTTTCTCTACGAGGTGAGGTTAAGGATCTGCCACGTGGATACACACTCTGCCACTGACCACCCACGTAAGTTGGATCTTTGCAAGTTGTGACATTTATTCATAAATTGATTACATATACATACTATAATAATAATAATAATAATAAACCTTTGAAGGTTCAAGATAAAAATCAACTTGTTAAAAAATTATTTCAAATGAAGTTTATTTTCACTCTTCATGCTTTACACTCGTTATTAAAAACAGAACTTTCATGGGTATTCTATATTTCAAACATATCATTAATATTATGGGACCAACACTTAGAAACTTTATTTTCCTGTTGAAATTATCATATTATCAAGTTGCTTTCTTTTTCTTGCAATGTTATGGACAGCCAATTATAAACAGCGGTTTGCCCATAGACATGTCTGAGGCTGATTGCTTGATTTGCACTTCCTTATCTTATTTTTTCACTTTGTCGATGATGGATTATTTATTTATTTATAAATTTAATCTATTTTCTCGTCCTTTTCTATGTTTTGAAGAAGATTGCTAATTTTATAATAACTCAATTTGATAAATTTTAAAAAAGTGTTTGTAAAAAATAATAAAATTTCTTTCGTGTATTAAAAATGATTAATATTTTTTATTTTTTAAGATGATTGATAAAAAAATTATTTAATTTTTCTAAAATTTAAGAAAATAAATTATTTTAATTTATGAAATAAATTATTATTTATATTCATTTATTTCTTTTATAAAGAATTATTTGAAAATTCATCCAAATTGGGTGAATATCGTAATTTTTATTTTAAAATGGAACTATTTTCTATTGGCGGTGTTTTGAAATAGTGTGTTGTTCCAAAATTAAAATAAAAAGGGATAAAATCATGTTTTCAAAATCGGACGTTCCAACCACACAATGGATAACCCGTGTTTGGGACGTCAATATCGTATTTATTCACTATTTAGAATTGCTGGAACAGAATTATTGAGCTCATATGCTCTAGTTCTGAGTTAGATAAATGATATAAAATTCATTTATTTAATAATAAAAAAATATTTTATATTATGACTTATTTAAAATATTAAACAACAAAATTTATAAAAAAAATTCGTGAAAAGGGCTAAAACATACTCATAAGTCACTAATTTTATCATGAGTCCGAACCTAGAACCACTTTATTCCGACAAAATCTTAAACACGATTATTATATTACATTATATTATTATGTAGTTTACGCTTAATCTATTTTTACTCTTTTTGGTTACCCTGCAAAAAGCACTTTGTTAAGTCATGCAGTTGACCCAGGTGGGCCCTTGTAAGATATAAATACATTTTTATATCAGTAGCGTAACGCATTACTCATTTTTATACTTGCATTTAAAAAATATAACCATATTTAGATTTATATTTGCGTTGGTCACAATTTGAATACCTGTATATTTACTCCTTAAATATTTATGTACTCGTTATTTATATTTTTTGGTAACTTGATTACGATCTCTTATGATGTATTTATAAAATATAAATATTATATAATACTAATATTATTTATGAAAAATTAATATGAAGAACATTGATCCCAAATAAAATATGTAACTTACAAAATATTTAAAAATTAAATATAAATAAAATAATATATATTATGCAACAATATTTAATATTAATCAAACTCGCAAAACTTTGCGAATTTGTACCCACATTCATTCGATGAGCCAAAAAATATAGTAGTAACACTTTAATTGATTGTCTGAGTCTCATTTTTTAATTTAATAAATCTTTCATATTTTTATAATTTTTAATAATTAATTAAAATATATTAGAAAAAAATATAGTATACAGCCTACTACAATGGACAACTTTTTTATATATATAAACTATTTAACTAAAAACAAAAACAACTTAAAATATATTTATACATTTTTTTTCTTTCACTAACTTGTACAAATCAACAATACACCTTCATCACATTTTTTTTATTTATCAGATAAAATTTTGAAATAATGAATATAATTTAAATAATTGAAAAACTGAGACTAAAATTGTACATTGACTATAATATAGAGAAAAAATGTAATTAAGTTTTTTTAAAGGCATGTAATAGCAGCTTCGCATCCTAAAACGCAAGGGCGACATGAAAACTAATACAAAAAAATTAACCACAAAATTAGCATTCGATAGCGAAAAATATGATGGTCTAAATATATTTATGATGAATCTTCCGAATGGTGATAAGCGGCCCTTTCCCACCAGATCCCAGATCACTCACCGCCGTGCAAGTCTGTGCCCTGCTCCCAATAACAACGCTCTTCCTACCGCACCACTATGAACCCCCAAAATCAGAGCAACAGTGCCACCTACAGCCACCCACTTCCAGTCGATGCCATGACCGGTTTGTGCGGTATTACTCGTGGCTTGCACCACCTCTTCCATAGAAGACGTAGGCTCTGCGGAATGCATGTTTCTGTCAGAAGAAATCTTGGTTGTTTTACTTGCCATCAATGCACATCTTGACAAAGAAGTCTCCGTTTTCCTAGCATTCTGGTAAGCCCTCATTCCAGAGTGCAATTTCTTGACAGCTCCCCACATTCCATGGCGAACTCCCAACTTTGCAACATCTTTCGGAATCCCCATGTCTTCATAATGTAAAAGGGTAACCTCGCAAGCAGACAACTGGCCATCTTCTTTGCGAGATTCCACTGCACCAATTTCCAAAAATCAGCAGTTGAACACATCACAATTGAATAGTTTTGACGTGAATGAGAAAATAATAATTCTTTTTGACAATTCTTACCAGGTTTGATTACCCAACTAGAAAAATAGAGCTCTACACGTCTGGGCTTGTCACGTTTTGGCAAACTTGGATAGGGCACACCCTACAACATTGAATAGTAAAATAGTAACACCATTTATGCTTAAAACTGAACAATCATCGTTACGTAGAAATATAAGAATGACTTAAAATACAAATAACACAAGGTAAAGACCAGAAGTGCAGTAGGAGATGTCAATTTCACCAAAAAAAAACAAGTTTCACCAACAAAGGAATACGCATAAGTATTCAATTCTCCAACAGAGTACATAGATAGTGTTGTCATAGGGGCGTCGCAGCCTCCCGTTACTGCAGAAAAGCTGTCATGTCACTTTATCATGGAATGCCCGTTGCATTTGCTTTTGCATCCCAAATCGTGTAGCGGCTAAGACTGGTAACCGCCTGGGATGGGGCTGGTAGGAAACCTTCATGCCCCCATTTGTAAGTTGCCATACAATTTTGGGGGATAATTTCGTAACCTTCTTTTATTAGGTAGAGTTTGACTTTTGAAGTTTGATTCCGCGTTGAATCGCATTCATCCAGTAGATGCACTGCTCTCACGGTCTCCTCTCTATTTGATGCAAACCATCTGACCCACAGCACTCCGGCAGTATTTTCGGCATTATATTTTGCTTTTTCCATAGTCTTTTATCCTTTCCGTGTGTTGTGTTCAATTAGGGAGCCTCACGTGTTCTTTCTTGCTATACTTTTCCGCCTTTTATGCTCCCAAACTTTTGTTGCAATTCACGTGTGCGTTTAGCTTAAAATCATGATATTTTATGATTAATTACGGATGTTTTATATTTTGGGTAATATTTCATTTCTGAGCATTTATACGTGTAGTATATGTTTGGCCGCTCTGCACTGCTTGCAAGGAATTACAACGATATTAATAACTAGTTCAAATTATTAGATCAACTCAAAGTGTAAAACTTCATTTCTTACAAAAGAAAATAATAATTTCATATATGCAATTTGCATTCAACTAATATTTTCTCTAAGCCACATAATTCATGCTTTCCTACTCAATTGTTTCGAGTGACAAATGAAACATTCATTGTTAACTTTCTTTTCTAATGATGTAAGAGTGATGGCAAGCTATTGTGAGAGTAACAGAAACAATAGAAAATGTCATAACTTGTAATGAATCATGTCACAAGCATACCTTTGTCACACAATAGTATGTGTTTCCAGCCTGCCATATTCTTCGAGCAATAATGTACTCTCGATCGCTACAGAAAAAGGGGAACTGTAGACAGAGAGTAAACCAAGAATCAGTGAACCATACTGTTGTAAACTTAAAATACAGGAGTCTCAAGATCTCTTTGGTCCAAATACCTTTTTAATCCAGTGAGAAATCATTGTCCCATTATGAGGGCATTCCTCCAATACTTTGCAATATGCAAGCATAGGATCCCATTTAGGACGAAAGTCATCATCCCAGAAGAAATCCCTTACCAACTCTGGAGTTGCATCTTCAAAGACAGTTCTACTACGGTAAACTGTGGGACCTGTCTGTTAAAACATCCAAGTCCAACATTAGCTGTTGATATATTTTTAAGGTAGAGCCACAAAAAGAAATAATCATATCAACATAGAGGTGATGATGTAATGATTATTTTGGGTGTAAAATATGGAATGCCTCCTAAAGCAAGGATATTCAAATTCATCACTAATAGAAGATGTTTGATTTTATGTCAGATTATAGACAGAATTTGTATGCAATGAACACTGAACCTTACAATCTACCTCAGGATCATGACGCCAAGCTTGGTATTGCATGTTTGGTGTTGACCTCGCCATAAAACTTTGCCAGTCCATCACTCCATCCTTTCCTTCAAGAAGATGAAGAAAATGTTCCAAATCAGCCTGCATAACAATATCCTGCCCACTCTCCTCTGCCTGATCACCAGACCTAATGCATGTGCAATAACCAAGTTGCCAAATGAATAAAACACTTCATTCTTCCTCTAGCAATACAGCACAATATATCAAAAAGCCATCTGAGAACTAGAAGTAAGCAATTACAAATATAATAATTAAATATCAATATGGAGATAATGTCATACCACAAATTTTAAGTTTACATATTTGTGATCTACTTTACAAAATGATAAAAAAATTTAATATAGATGTTATATCCAGAATATAAGCTAGATGGTTAGAAAAAACATTGGGAGTTAATTGTGATCACAAAACATCAAATACTTATAAGTTCAAAGAAAAATGAGATAATAACAGAAGATAAAAGTGAGAGGAAGAAAAATGAGAATGTTAAGATGCATGTATAACTACATGAGAAGAAACAAGATAAAAGATAATTTTGTATAATGAAAGACTGTGATAACACCTACTAAGGAGAAGATAATAGGAAATGGTTAAAATGATTTAAACATACGAAAAGAAAGTCACTAGAGGCACCAGTAAAAACAGTTGATTTTATGATTTTTAGCCTTAAAAAAATGTACGTGGAGACAAAAAGGAATCTTAGAGGAAATCATTAAAAAGGATCTCATAGTAAATAGCATGGTTAAAAATTTGGTTTTTGACCGAGACTAGTAGAGTTGTATCATCCATGTAGTCAGCGTTACTAGTAAGAATAAGGTTTCGTTGTTGTTGGATCATAACGCTCGTGTGCTACTAGTAAGAATAAGGCTTTGTTGTTGTTGTTGTTGTTCCTGTTATAACGCTTGTGTGCATTTACAAAATTTGTGGAACAGTAAAAAGAAAATAAGTTCACATTGGAGATTAGCCATACAGAAGAAAATCCATCCAGCTAACTTGTACAAAAAAAGCCTAAACACAGAATCACTACAGAGTGCAAAATTATCAAGGTTACAACCATACTCTAGAAAGGTATAATTCAGCTATTGGGGTTTCTTAATTGAAAATGAAATATCCCTATCCTCAACCAAACCAAATTAGATTGTCTAGATCAATTCATAAATGTTCAAAACATAGTTCCTAAAAATGCTAAATGCAAAAACAATAATTACAAAACACATACATGCCTAATACTTGATATAATTCAATATTTTGATTTGTCTAATCCCCAATACGGTGGTTCCTTATTTCTTTCAAGAGGAATTCTTATCCTAAACTATAGTAAAGATCAACAAGTTGTGACACAGTCAAATTAATCACCATTGTTAAAACCAAACAAATATAGCTCTGTCTAGATAATCCGAATAATTGGAATCCACGGGAAAGAATATAAATGAAAGTAGGTGGAAAATTGAGGAGCTACCGAGTAGCGTGTTTGATTGAATTGGAATCAGCAACATCGGATTGCGAAGGCGAGGGATCTTGAGCTTTGGCCTTAGCCTTGCCTTTGAAATTGAACCAATAGGTGCGGCAAATGGAGAAGGCAGAAAGTGCGGTGAAGGCGAGCCAGAGGCGGCGGGCTCCAAAGCCCGGCGGTGCCGTCCAGAGAAAGCGGAACTTGCTGCGAAGGCCGAGGAAAACGAGGCCCGTCCACCGCGGCCGCCACGACCAACCAATCACCAAGCCGATCATGACCGCCAGCCAAATCGGAACAGCGCATAGCAAAATGTCGACGAATGTCTCCGTTATCGAGGGTTTCTTCAGAAACTCCACAATGTCAAAGAAAGAATCCTCCATTTTCCCGAGAAAATGAAAGATCTCTTTCTGTTTCTCTCTTCCTTTATTTTCTTGATGCGTTAGTGAGTAATTGAAATCGAATTAGATGACGCAAACCGTGTTTTGCAGGATACACCCAACGATTTCACCCTCTTCCATCCTTCAACAAACGCACCACAAGACAACACAGGATAGTTTTATTTTTTCCTTTGGGGTAAGAGAAAATGGGCACGTGGCAGAGCACTTACCGTTGATTTGTTTCTTACACTAATTATTAGCAAGGGATTTGTTAGGTTTCGGCAGCTCGAGTCCACACAACCTTATCTTATTAATCCCAAACCAAAAGTCGCGTACTTTTTGTTAGAGAGAGATTCTTTTTCGTAACTCCTTGCGTTTACATCACCTGTATTTGTCTATTTTCTTTTTAAAAAATTATTAAGTTATGATTATTTTTCAATGGGCCTAACGTTTTAGATAAGGCCCAAAGCCAGTCTAAGCCTTCAGGGGGAGAATAAAAGAAGTGCAAATCAGCTTAGAGCTACTACTCATAAAAAAACCAGCTTAGATGCGTATGATCAAATTATTATTTTTAGTACCCACTTCAATAAATGCTATTCATAGTAAATTTTATATTTTTATTGTGACTTTAAAGATATTTATTAACATATAATTTTAGAATAATTTTATAAAAAAATAAATGAATATATTTTTATAGAGTAATTAATAAATAATTATTTATTGTTATATAAATTTGAGAATTGTAATGGAAAGATGAGGACGGATTCCAGAGTTTCAACAAACAAGATATCACAACTGAAAATGGACACGCGTCCTTTCTTGATTAGTTGAGGGCTATTATAAAACAGTTAAGAGTCCCCGTCAACAGAAAAAGCAACGATTTCTGGTTGGATGAAGTTCTGAATACTGTGAAGCAGCAAACTGCAAATTTTTCTAGCTCGGTGTGCGTGAGAGAGAAGGCAATGGAGACCACAGTGAGTGCTGAGAGCAAGAAGGAGAAAATTAATGGCGAGGAAGAGAAAGGGAAGAAGATCATCCGAATTCAGGTTTCCAAAACCAAGAAACCTCTCTTCTTCTACCTCAAACTCGCCAAGGTATCACTCTTTTTTTTCCTTTCGCATTTTTCTTGCATAATCACTGTCTAATCTTTGACTCTGTTCTCCGCTTTTCATTCAATCAATTAGCTTATTGCTATTTTTGTGCTCTCTAGATTTTGTTTTTCATTTCTTCTTGTTTACCGTTTCCTTTTGTTCGGAAATTGGATTAACGGTGCTTTTCTTGCGCAACTTCACTGTGAAATTGTTTATTTTGATCGAGGTGTTCATTTATTGATCTTACGTATTCTTTCTGATGCAGAAGTACATAAAGCAGGGCAATGACGTCGAGCTTTGTGCATTGGGCATGGGTATAATTTTCTTGAACCTTCTTGCGTTTGTTTTGTTAACCTTCAATTGATAGATAGGTTCTGCTCTTTGGTTCTGGATTAGGTTCCGTTGGAAAATTATGGTATAGAAAGTTAAGTTTTGAATATTAAGTATGTGAATATTAACCACTTTATTGAAACTCCATGAAATTTAGTGCGTGTTGTGCATACTTGTTTATGTGGTTTAGTTTCTCATATGAGTGAGTATTTGATTCTCTCAGGGTTTTAATATATGCTGTTATGTTTTTCTAACTTTCTTTTTGCATTGATCCGCAGCTATTCCAACTGTAGTAATAATCTCTGAGATTTTGAAAAGCAACGGATGGGCAATTGACAAAAGTAAGATCAGTACTCTCCTTAAAAAGCTTGCCAAAAGCTAAACGTTTATTCTAAGTTTCGATAAAATTGATCTTCATGTGGGTATGTGACGCAGATATCATGACATCCACTGTTAATGCAAAGGAAGACAAGGAAGGTCGAGGGATTCCAAAAGCTAAGGTTTATCTGCAAGCATTTTCCTATTCACTTAATCGTTCAGTTTGCTACGCTTGGTATGGATGATCATAATAACACGTCCTTTATTCATACGGTTTTTCACAGATTGGGATTTTGCTGGGAAAGGCTGCAGATGTGGATGAAAGTACTGTTGCTGCATCATGGGGGAAAGATGCTGATAGGAGTAACAGAGTAGTGACAGAGTAATATACCTAACCGGAGATAATGAATCTCTTCTGCTTGTAGTATATGGAAATGGATTATACAGTTTCAGTACATGTTCCTCCATTTCCTTTTCTTTTTTTGTGTCTCGAGAGGTAACATACACCGCTGACAGTCCTCTGTAAGCAGTTTTGTTCAGAAGGCCATTACGATTGATTTTTAGTAATTGGCCATTACGATTTTACTTTAGTGAAAAGTGTTCCTTGTATAGACGTGCTTTCTCACAATTTGTATCACTGAAGCATAACCGAATGTGTAAGAAGGTCGTTGCTTCGATCTCTCTCTCTCTCTTTCTATGCCACGGACAACTAATGGCGTTTCTCAAATTTTACATTATTTTATTGTTAATGACTACATTTGATTCCATAATAAAATCAGGAAACATTACGTTACCAAAGGACCAATTTGGCAACCTAAGCAACAATACTTATTTACGACTTAATCTCCATACCTATGGAACTTTAATTTTAGCTTTCACAGAAGAAGTGATTGCTATATTTTGATTCTCGTTTGTCCATTATTAATAAAAAAAAAAGAAAAAAAATAAACATTTTAAGTATATAAATTAATTTATAAATAAATATTAACTATAAGATTTAATATGTACGATTTATGATAAAAACAATATCAAGAAGAATATTAATAAATTCTTTTTCTTTGTAAAACATTTTATGAAACAGAAAATTGATATTCATTGTTGTTTTGAGTTTTTTGATGTAAATAAAAGAAAAAAATTGAAATATTATGTGTAACTCCAAAAAAAAAAAAAGAAACAATTAAAATTTATTTCTTTAATTTTCTTATATTCGTGAATTATGATTTTATCATTGTTAAAGTTGATTATAATTGCGTGGTGATTCTATTATTATTAAAGTTGATTATAGTCGACTTTGATTTCTCTTTGTTCCTTCTAAAGAAGTCAATCATAGTTGACTTAAAAAAGGGAGTCTCGTGATTTTATCATTGTTAAAGTTGATTATAGTCGACTTTGATTTCTCTTTGTTGCTCCTAAAGAAGTTAATTATAATTGACTTAAATAAGGATGTCAATTATAGTCTACTTTAGTATAATGAATTGAATCAACTTTTACAACTATTTAAACATCCTGAGGAGCAAAAAATAAAGAAATGAGAGCAAAAAGGAGGAGACAATAGACTATTTGAAGGGAGGAGGTGAGATTAAGAGCAATGATTTAAAAAGAGGAGATTGAGGGCAATGATTTAAAGGGAGGAAGTGAGAGTGGAGAGGAGAAAACATACTATTTAAGGGGATAATTTGAGTTTCGTAAGAAATTAATTTATATACTTAGTGTGGAAGATAGATAATAATTTATATTGACTTAATTTTGTTGGTTATACTGTAAGTAAACTCTCAATATAGGTAATTTTATTTTTAAATTTTTATAATTAGATTTTATTTAGTTTAATACATCATTAATTCTATAATTATATGTTTGGAAAGATGTGTAAACATTAATTATTATATTTGTAAATTTAATTAATTATCCGTTATATATTTTTAATTATTATGATAATTTAGTTTCATATGGTAGTAATTTACAAATTATAATAAATTAAAATTTAATTTTTATTAAATTTAGTTTGTGACATAGTTAATTTAAGTTTATTTTTGTTGTAATATTTTTATTTAAGTTTCATGTTGTATATGAAGAAAATGTTAATTAATAATTTGGTGCAATTTTTATTTATTTTGTTTGATTTGTAGGATTGTATATAATATTTTCTTATCATACCATATTCTCAACTTCTAAAAAGTAGGCGTTATTATATGATAATCGCTTCAGATCTAAGGATGAAATCATTTTTTAAGCAAATTGATTTTAGCATGTTGTACAAATGGTCTTAGTATTCAATTATGGTAAGGCACTCATAAGTGCACTTATGTAATGTTAGAGATATGAGTCACACATATTTTATCTTTTGGACAGAAAATGTACAATCACTTTGGAAGATGTTATGTTTTAGCGAGACTTGTGTGTGGATGAGCTCCTTATGAGTGGCTACATTAGAGTGTGGAAGAAATTTTATGATTGAGATATATGACCATTAGTCCATATGAGAGAAACATAAAAAGATTCTATGAAATTCTACAATGGTTTATAAATATATTTGGAGCATTACCCCAAAGTGCGATGAGCATACTATTGTCCATTACACTAAAACAAACATAATGGTTCTATCTCTAACCAAAGTTACCTTGTGTCATTTCATGTAGATTTAAGGATAATGACTTTTCAATTTATCTAATAGAGTATTCAAAACTTGGAGAACCTATCTCAACATGTGAATTGTATAAGTCATAGCGGGACACCTCAACTAATTGAGTTGTATTTGATAGAGAATAGGGATATAAATTTAGGCCTGGCCCATCCGGCCAGCCTGTATAACCCACCAAATTAAGCGGGTCGGGTTACATACCTTTAATCCAATAACCCGTATAACCTGTCCTGCATAACCCATTTGAAAATGGGTCTGGACGGGTTCGGGGCGGGTTGGCCCCTTGAACAACCATTTAAAAAAAAAATTATGTTGGATCGGACTTGAGCTTGACCCATATTTAGAATAAACTAAAGAAACTTTAACTTTCATTTTCTATCCCTCACATTCTATCTCCTGCTGCTACCAGCCACAACCCGTAAATGCAATCACCCACACCCACTGTAGACTAGGAATCAGCTTGACCTAACAACCTTTCTTGTGCAAGTGAAAGGGTAACAAGTCGGTGGCGAAGGTAGTAATTCTCGGCAGAGGGGACGAAGCGGTAATTAGAAGGGAGGAGCTCATAATTGAATAGCTCGCCCTCTCCTTACTCCAATCCTTTGGTGAAGGTCTATTTTAGCCCGTGAAAAGGTGATTTTCTCATTATAGTTGTCTCTCTCTCAGACCCTTCCATATCTATTCTTCTTTGTAATTTGTTTGTTTTCCTTGCTCCTTTCCTTTTATATTTGTCTGGGACCTTGAGTTTAAAAAAATATTCAAGTTTCTTAGTGTTCGTTTGGTTCAAAGTTTAGTAGCCTCGATTTTAATAAAATTGATTGAAGCATTGAATGTAATTGATATACACGTATAAATTAATTTAAATCACACATTTTTATTCAAACGTGTATTTTTCATTAGAAAATGCAAGAATTGATTTTGTTAATTCCTAAATGTCACAGTTGTAGATTCAAATTGAGTGGAGAAATTGTGGGGCTATAAGTGATGATGCCAAAATGAAAGTGTTAATAATTGTTGTTTATTCGATCATATCATGTACATATCAAGTTTCTTAAACTTCCTCTATTCCAGTAGTATAATAAAAAATAAGCAACCTTTTTGTTAATACTTCATTCTTGATTGCTAATAACTTTTTGTTAATCTAATGTATAGCTTTTGGCTTTTTATGCTCTGATTCACATTATTAATTCCTTGAATCATAATAGCTTTTGGTTTGATCTTTTATTAAATAATGTTAATATATTGCTAATGTTATACTCTTCTTCAAGTAATGAATGACATGCACTGTTAACTTGCAAAATTTTTATTTTATTAAGAAATAAATTAGAATGTTAAGGTACCATAAAAACAGAAAATTCATAGCAAACATTTTCACTATTAACCTCCAAATTTTCACTAATTTCCTGTTGTTTCTCGGAGTGGAAAAATTTAGAAGCTGATCTTATAAGCAAAAGATTCAAAAGTTTCATACGTATTATATCATATACTCACAATAATTATAATTGTATTATGTATTTTATTTTATATTTTCTTTGTAATTGTGTTGTTTCTAATTTGTAGTATTTTTTTATTTCCAGTTTTTATTTTTGTTATGGAAGGCTCTAATAATCTTACTTCTAATGATAATAATGCAGAGTGTACTGTATCTGAATTTGTTAATGCTAAGAAAAGAGTTAAAACAACCACATCTGATTGTTGGAAATTTTTCACCAAGATGGGATTAGGTGATGATGGAATTGAAAGGGAAAAATGTAATAGCTGCAGAATTGAGTATAAACGTGGAGGTAAAAAGTATGGGACATCACATTTAAATCGCCATGTTACAATGTGTAAAGAGATTAAATTTGAAGATGTTGGTCAAATGATGGTAAATGTACAAGGAAAACTAAAATCTCGGAAGGTGGATCAAATGATATCACGTGATATGTTAGCAGCTGCAATCATTAAACATGGTTTGCCTTTTAATTTTGTTGAACTTAGGAAGATTAGGACTTGGTTACAGTATGTGAATCCAGATTTAAACCCCATTTCTCGAAATACTATTAAATCTGATGTATTGAAAGTGTACATGAGAGAGAAGGAGAAACTTAAACAAGAGATGTCTATCATTCCTTCAAGAATATCTTTAACTTCTGATTTATGGACTACTTGTACTACTGAGGGTTATATATGTTTGACTTTTATTTTGTTGACTCAAATTGGAAGTTAAAGAATAAAATTCTAAATTTTTGTCGTATGCCTCCTCCTCACACTGGATTTGAGTTATCTAAAATCATACATGAATTTTTAATAGATTGGGAGATTGACAAGAAAATATTTTGTCTTACTTTGGATAATTCATCTACTAATGATGTTATGTAACAACATTTAAAAAGTCAATTAGCCTTACAAAAGTTGTTGTTATTTGATAGAGAGTTCTTTCATGTGTGATGTTCTACACACATTTTAAATTTAATTGTTCAAGAATGGTTGAAGGTTGCCAATGATGCCTTACACAATATTAGAGAAAGTATAAAATATGTGAAGGATTCAGAGACTAGAATGAGAAAATTTAAGGATTGCATTGATCGAATTGGAGGTGTAGATAGTTTAAAAGCATTGTCTTTAGATGTTCCTATAAGATGGAACTCAACTTATTTGATGCTTCAGAGTGCCCTTCAGTATCAACGTGTATTTTCAAATTTTCATTTGAATGATGAAAATTATAGATTTTGTCCGTTAGAAGAAAAGTGGTAAAGAGTAGAAAAAATTTGTGGATTCTTATTGCCTTTTTATGTTACTACTACCTTGATTTCTAGCACATCGTATCCTACTTCTAACATGTATTTTATGAAAATTTGGAAGATCCAGTGTGTACTTGCTGAAAGTTTAAATGATGAAGATGAAGTTGTGAAGAGCATG